CTAATCCACCAGGAACCAAAGTGTATGCAGGCTTCGTGAAACCTTTTCAACAGAGGTAAAACAGTCTAACAGAGGGGTCAGGGGTTCCTATTGCCAGCAGCTCCAAGCTCACCCTGTCTGACACCTGCTTAATGTGCAGAGCCAGGCAAATGACCTTGCTTCTCCCTGTCTCAATTTTCTCATGTATATAATGAGAATAATGATATACAGTAGCATCTCAGGAGCCTTATCAATGATGAGTTGATACCCAGGCAGCAGTGTGACACCATGGTCTATCAGGAGACAGAAGGGGAGGCTGCATCTGCTTGGTTTCTTTGACATACACTTTTAAAAAGCAAGGCACTAAATAACTGCTGGGCTCATATTTACCATCACTGAAATGCAGACATCCCAGGGTCTGCTTAGCAGAGAAAAGCAATGATAAAATGATAAGAGAAAGAAAATCACGTAGAGGATGATTATCTGTTGCTTGCTTCCGATTTACCCCATCAGAGTATTCCAGGAGGACTGGCTGGGCACGGCATGAGCGCAGCACTGTTGGACGCTCTCTTTTTGTCCAACACTTGCTGGAAAGCACGAGTGGAAGATGCTCATGGTGCCCAGCTGCAGAGGGTTGGGTGCGTGTTATGGGGAAGACAACACGTGGCTATCCCCACACCGAGGCACAGCACCACAAAAGTGGTTCCATGGAGCCACAAATCCTTCCCCCATTTCCCTCTCTGTTTGTGCTGGGCACTTGTTGATCGCCAACCACCTGGGAGCCGGGCTGCAAGCCCAAAGCAGATTCACCCTATTGATTTAAAACATGGAGATCTGGAACACAAATTTTATTCAAGATGGAAACAGGCCAGAACGACAAAACATAGACATAAAGAAGAAAGAGTATCGTGTGGGATTTTATAGTTGGTCAGGAACTCAGCTTTATAGTTTCTCTGAAAAACAGCACTATCAGCAGATGCACCCTACAGTGAGAGGGCATCGGCTCTAAACTAACTCGGAGGGAAACGCAAATCTATTAAGTCAACACCAGTTGTCTCTGACCTATTTAGTCCTTATCTGCCCACAAGCTTTCCCTGATTTACTTTAAAGCAGTTTATCGAGACTGAGCTAAGCCCCTGTTACTAATTGAATAGCACCTTGTTGCAGTTTGGCCTAAATGTCTTAAACTCAGCTAAAAAGTCCAGTTTAGAAACAACCAAAGTGTCTACACAGCTCTCCACATTGCTTTAACTAAGCTGTTCTTAAATTGAATGTTAAATTAATCTGCATTAATTGAATCCCTCTAATTAATGTGCATGCTTGAGCCGAGGATGTTGTCTATTTGTGTGCTGACCAGCGACCTGGTTAACCAGCAAGATCCAAAGTAAATCCAGTGGGCAAGAGACCCCTCACATCCCTCCTGCTTCTCTTCTGCCTTGCTTCTAGGCATCAGAGCCATAAAACCGCCAGGTCCACGGAAGTGTGCTGAACCTTGATCCTGTCACACGGAGGCACATGAAGGCATGAATAATGTACATCACACTGCACCATATAGTGCCTTAGCATGCAAATGTCAGGAGCAGGATCACCAGCACAATTCTCCTCCCTGCTCATGGAGCTGGATAGAGCACTAGGTGCTGTTCTTTATTCTTCTTCACCCAATAGCATAAACATCCCCTAGGTGAATTAGCAGCCAAGGTCAAAAGACTGAGAAATGGCCACAGACTTCAGCGAGGAGCCAAACCTGAGTCAGCCCAGACTGGGCCAAGCAATCCAGGCTCTAGCACAACATCATTCTCACCACCAACACTGCCATTCAGCAACAAGAAGATTCACCTCCTTCCTTCTACCCACGTTTCCCAGAGGTTGACATTTCTCTAGGTTCATTGCAGCACATTCCATCCCCTCAAACACTTTCTGGAATCCACAAAGAAGAACCAACCTAAACCAGTTGTTCTGCACGAGCAGGACACGAGCCCAAACCCTTCTGCTTCCATGCGGGCAGAACTGCTCTGCTTAGGAGGCGTCCACCTCTGAAGAACAGATACGTTCCTGAAGGACAGGCCTCTCATTTTCCATTTGCAGTGCCCTTTTCCATTTGCAATGTGCATTTTAGCAGCTGTAAATTGCTCTGCACATTAGTCAGGTGTCTAATTAATAAATAATAATAATAACTGGATGCCGGCTCCATCTGGCAGGCGCTGCAGCGCTCGGCTGCTCCAGTAACACTACCGGGTACATAGACCCACCAGACACCATCAGGCCTCTCCAGGGCCACCAGTATCAGACTGTCTGGGCAGCCCAACCAGCACGAGCAGGGGTGGGGTTTGTTGTTCAGAAAGCTGCTAGATTTATTGAGCATCATATAAAAGCTCTTTTTAAAAAAATCCTTTCTCTTAACTGCCTGCCAAGAAATTACTTGGGGGAATGGGGAAAATGCTCTTTAAAAGGCTATTAAATGTTATTGTTAAAAGAAAAAGGTGCCCATAATGCGATGCCTTCCCCAGAGCGGTTCTCTCCTCGCCCTGCACAGCATCTCAGCCTTCTGCTTGTTTTGCACTCCCAAACCCGAGTTGACACTGGGGCTCATGATAAATTGGCACTTGATGCCATTGCCAATGCTAATAGTTCTCCAAAAGGAGACTACTTGGTTTTATAATTGCTACAGCAGATACATCAGGAGCTCACAAAACAGTATTAACACTTTACTATCTCAGAGGAAGAAAATTCCTTTCTTCCTTTAAGAAATTTGGTTAAATAATACTCAGCCCTTGTCTGCATAGTCCTGCATCTACAAACAGAAAAACAGAATTGCCTGCAGGCAGGAGTTGACCCAGGGAGAATGAAAGTTTGTAGGAATTATACCTTATCCAGTCTAGGCTTGCACACCCCAGGATCATAAGTACTATAAATTACTGCAGACCAAAATTTCACAGCAAGGATCCCATATCATCTTTAATGATGGCCTCCCTTATGTCTCCATCTCTAGGGAAGTCCCCGTTTGATCTGAGGCTGCTATTCCAGGCCAAACCTATTGAATAAGCTATATACAAAGCAGTTTATTCAAACTGCTACAAACACAGCTAAGCACACTAGTAAGAAAGAAAACCTGGAATTTATAACATTTGGCAGCTTTGAGCACCACACCAATTTGTGTATAAGTATGCAAATACCCACACAAAGGCTAAAAAGGCTTTTTTTTTTTTTTTTTTTTGCCTGGCTCCAGTGCTCGGTGTCCTTCCTGCAGCAGTTGGTGAGCTGGCACCAGCTCTAACACTTGACTCAGATTGGATCTGAATTTATTGCATTGTTTTAAGCAGTCCAAAAACTATAGCGAAAGGAACAGCAGGCCCTGATTTCACATCCTTGGCACCGACCTGACACCAGGCAGGTCTTTCTCAGCACCGGGATTGCTGCCTTACTGACAGCAAAGTAAGGAGGAACTGATTTTCCAATTATCCGGTTTTCAAAAGCCCCGTAATGTTGAAGTCGGCACCTGCTGAACATACAGCCCCGGGTGACATCACAGCTTTGAGGCTCGGTGCCGAACGTGGAAGTTATTACGGTGGGTGGGAAAGAGGAATGTTGTAGGAACGAGACTGACAGCGAGCACCCACACGGCCCTCACCCCGAGCCGCCCTGGCTTTGAACGACAGCGCTTCTGTTTAAAGTAACATCAGGAATATAAACACCCTGTCCTGCTTTAAGGTTATTTTTTTGCCTTTTTTTTTTTAATAAAAATTCTAAGTGAAGAGCTGTCATAGCCCTGAGTAAAAGCATTTGGAAGAGCTACAGTTGGCTGCAAGTCTGCAGAAAGGCAATTTTCTCTTTAGGTTTCGGGCAGTTCTGGGAAGGAAAAAAAAAAAAAAAACACAAACACAGGTTTAAAAAATAAATTAAAAAAAAAAATAAAATCAGAAAACCTGGATGGGACAAAGGTCAAGAAGAGGGATTGCTTTAGTTTGGTATTAAGACATAAGTAATTGCCAGCATTTTGAAGGACACATATATCCAGTAATCCTTTCAACATCACCAAAATCATCATCACTCAAATTCTCACAGGTCTTGTACCCTCCAATAAACAAACCGGCCCAACCCCAACTCCATAGGGAAGTCACAGAGATACCCACTAGCAGCACTACCAGGGATGGCAGCTGAAGGCAGCAAGTGCAGCCTGACACCAGCATCTCCTGTCCATTCCCATCCCTCACAGGGCTCCTACAAAGCAGCAGAGCCGCGTGGGGCGATCTGGGCTGCTGGTGCCTGCAGGAGTGGGAGGAATTACCTGTTCTGGGAATGGCGACGCGTTCAGGTAACAGCTGGAAAGTATTGTACATTTTAAAAGAAAAATGAGAGAGAGAAATAATGAAGCCCCAAGGTTATCCCTTTAACAACTCTTATTTTTTATTTGACAAACTTAATCGGGAATTTTTATTACTCCCAAATAGTGTTTTAAAATAAAACACAATCCCTTCCAAGTTGCCTTTGGCATATACTGCCAGAAGTTGCAGATGGAAGGCACTCTTGCAGACAGTGCTTCCTAACCCTTCCAGGAGCTGGGAACCTCTCGGGTAAAACAACGGGAGCAGAGGTCCTGTAGGACAAGAAGATGATGAATTCCAAGGGAGCAAGAAGAGCAAAACATCAGAGGAAGAGATTCTGGTTTAAAGAAGCAGAACTGCTGCAGAAGGGGAAGCCTTATGGGAAAAGAGCAGAGCAAGAGAGGCAGGGCACAGCAGAGGAAAAGCGCAGAGTGGCAGAGCCATAGGGCCAAGTGTGTGATTGCTCTTGCAATCTTTGAAATCTCTCTTGCAATCTTAGAAATCTCTTTCTTAAGAGGAGAGAATATAAAGGCAGTGAATCCGAGGGAAGGTTATAGCTGTCAAGTCATAACATGAAGATTACAACCAGGAAAAAAATCCTTAAGGACAGACCTGACCATATCTCAGAGCTGCCCCTCCACCATTGACTACTTGAGGGACACTTTCGGGGTTGACAGCCACCGTCTGTGATGTGGGCAGTCTCCTCTATGCCATCTTCATCAGGTTCTTGTCCTCCTCATCGCAGCAGCTACTCCTGCATCAGAGCAGCAGAGTTGCCTAATCCACCCTCCGTTCTCCTCCACCCATTTCTGGACTGCTATTTTCTAAAGGCTTGTCTCTACTTAAAGGTCACCATGTTTAGAAGCTTCAACAAAAAGATTTAAAGTTCTTCCAAAAATAAATAAATAAAAAATAAAGCAGACCTAAATGTATATATGTATCTTTATGGAAGGGAGGAAAAAAAACACCAAAGAGACCTTTCAGTATATTTAAACAGATGTGGAAATAAACTGATCATCAAAGGAAGATGAAATCTGAACTGAAAATTTGCTTTACTAAGAAAAAGTGTCTTCAGGTATTTGTGCCAAGACTGCTTTTAAATCTCACCAAATTATAAGCCTATATTCTAAATTTACAAACCTATACAAAGCACATTCTCTCTGACTATGCAGTAAACCTTTAAAACTAGCTGCTAAGGCAGAATCCCTTTTACCACAGCTGGTTAACTCAGGAAGGCAGCCAAAGAGTGGCATATGTCACAGTCCCGAAATAGCTCTAAATTAGTTGACATGAATATTGCTGACAGTGAAACCTCAGCAACACATGGCGCAGCACAGGCCTGACAAGCTGCCCAACTCCTTGGACAGGTTTCGTGAGCGCCGCTGCGGTCTGCGCCGCCGCTGCAGGACGTTCTCAGAGGTCGAGAGCAACTCCTGGCTGAAATGAGCAGCTTTGGGGGCAGCCACCTCGTTTGGAAGAGCGAGAGCTATAACATGGACTATCCCAAGTAGCCCAGCTCTTGGAGACTGAGAATCCTCCTGACTTGACTCTGAGTTCACAGCTCACACGTTCAGAGATCTTTTGACCTTGTATTTTTGTACGGTGTTAAGCCATAGGTTTCAAAAGATAAATTCCCTGTCTGCATCATATGCATAAATATATACGGGCATCTACTTAGACAAAGACCTAGATATGAGGCTAAGGAAGACCCAGACGCATATACAGCAGATTATAGATAATTGCTGTTCATTTACAGATCCTTACCCCCCACAGAACTGTGTGAGTTAATGGGCTCTGAAATACGAGTTTCAAAAAAAACTTTCATTTCAATAATATTACACACCCTCAGGCTCCTATTAAACTTTTTTGCAACAATAACACCATTCAAACCAACGTTCATATGTGAATTACAGCGATACTGCACCACAGGAAAATGCAGAGAAAATTAAATAGAAAGGAAAACACAGCTTTCAGTCAGCTAGTTATCTGAACTACATTCAAGTTAATAGGCAGCAACTCGGAGGGATGAGGGAACGGCCTCCAATAAAATGTGAATCCGCTTGGCCTTCTATCATACACATGAAAGGGGCAGCTGGAAAACAGAAATATCACAAGACTTTTGTCTCTTATTTCTCGGCTTCTATCTCTTATTTCTCAGCCTCGCTCAAACACAAGGAGCACCAGCCCTCCTGGGTGACACCCTGTCGAGGGCTTAATCTCATCACATTCCCAAAGAGTTACGCACACGCACTGCCCACCATCCAGATTGTAGCTGGGATCCTAAGCCGATGGATGACCCAGGTGGGACAGACCAGGTACCAGCCTGAGCTCTTCTCAGTTTGCCCTCTACTGTCTCATGCTCAGGTGATGCTGCCGAGGCCGTGCAGATGCACGTCTCAAGCCCACACGTTGGGTTTTCAAAACCATCTGATTTACAATTTATTCCTAGGGCAGAATGGTGAACCTTGCACATAAAAGTTATGCAGGGCCAGGCTTTTAAATTTGTATATTTTATATATTTTACATATCAATACCTTTCACACCGATCTTAAAATACTTTAAGAAGAAAAACCTACCTTTCATGTTTTTTACGTCATTGGTGTTTACACATAGATTTGGATATTTATGCAGAAAAGCCCCATTTCAACAATATTAGCTTCATGAATAAACAAGAGTAAAAATCAATATTATAGATCACTCAATACCTTAGCTTCAAGAAGTCTGAATTCTGATCCTAGTCCAAATATAATCTGAATTCACCTCAGTGCACCAACATCTCTTCTGGAACTCTTACTGAAGCCTGATGCTATAACACTGTAGATAGACATTTCCAAATGCAAGGTATATAGAACTGAAAATACCTAGAGGAATAGAGATCTGTCCTATAATTAGTGCCTCATACTTTAAAGGCTCGTAGACAAAATATACACCTATAATCCAGAGGTTTAAGGTAGTCTGCATGAGGACAAGAATCCTGCCTGTTCGTTGGGCAACACGGGCCCAGGGTATTTCCTTCCCACTTGGATTATTTGGCCCCAAATCTCTCCAATTCATACAATAAAGTAAATGAGAGTAAAGTGATTTTTTAAATGGCTCTGTTATTCCTGTCTAAGCTAATTGTGTAATCCAGTTCTGCGCAATAACAATCACATACGTTTTCTGTACTAGGTTCAGCCTTATAGGCAAAACCTTTTCTACACAGTTCTTTTAATATTCCTGTGCCTACACGATTCCAGTGCAATCCAACAGAGTGGGCCGGCCAACTCACAACTGGTGGCTGTTGATTTTTTTGTTTGTTTATTTGCAGATCATCAAGAGCATGTGAAGAGTGGGTATGTGTGAAAAGAACTGCAGACTGAGCAGCTTAAAATTGGATTGCTTGAGAGAAGAAAAAAAAAAAAAAACCCCACTCTTTCCTGTTTGAAACTGTGCAGGACTGAATGCTGACCTCAAGGTAAAGCTGAGAAAACTGGATTTGAAGAGGAGTGGGATCTTCAGCTAAAGGGCACTAGAAACATCCTTCTGTGCTGCAGCCCCATTGCTGCTGCGATGTCCACCGGACCTGCATTATCCATCATCAGCCTGGTTACTGCATTTCTTTCCCATGCTCTATCTCCGTGGATGTGGTGAGGACTGTTCTGGAACACAGCTTGGCAGGAAACATTGTGAGTATCCATCAGGGAAACGTCTCCAAAGCAGACAGCCCCACGCTGCTGATCCACTGTGGTCCTGCTGGCTTCCGCAAGCCCTGGGATTTAAAAGCCTCTCATCGAAAGCTTCCTGGAATAATGGGTGGTCAGTGAACCACTGTGGCTTGGAAATGAAAGCTATAAAGATTTTAAATGTTCTTTCTTCCCAGGAAAGGGCTATATTACCCTGTGAACGACAAACATGGTATCTCAGAATACAGTTACAGGAAAGATTCTCCAAATAGAAACCTGGGCATTTGGTTTCAGTCCTGACGAGCCACATTGGGCTCTATCTCCACTTGCAGGTCAAGCACAGCTTGGGAAGCCCACCAGGCAAGAGGAGCCCTCATCAGCTCATAGCTTCAGGGACCCTTCCAAGGTAAAGACATGTTAGTGCATTCCAAAGTCCAGGGTTTCCTACCAGTGCTCCTCAACAAGGCTGAGAAGACCTATCAGAAACTGGGAGGTGACTGTGGCTAAATGGTTCATACTGCTGAATACCAAGGCGTTTAATGAAAAATTTCCCTTAATAGGAAAATTTTCCATGCCCCATACTTCTCATTAACTACTTTTGTACCATTGTACCCTTTTAATAGCAATTGTCATTAAGTGATTTTCTATTTAACATCAACTGAAAATCACTTATTTCCTGCTCCAAACAGCAATTAATGCCAATTATTTTACACAGTACCACGCACTGCTACAAATTTTTCAATTTTCCACTCAGTTTCTCTACATAATTTTTATTTTTTAGCTTAATTTCATTGTTTGGAACAATTTAAACCATGAGGCTTTGGCAGTAAATTTCTCATTTTTGTCAAAAAAAAAAAAACAGTAAAATATCCAACTATCACAGCAACAGGAACTACATGACCAAGAAAGCTGCATCATTGTCCTGCTAGCTTTGATTTCAAGTTAAGGAAGGTCAATACTCTTAAGAGACAATCCAAGATAATGCTGTATTATACTGAAGTGCACATAAGCCTTTTCTATGCCACAAAGTAGAAGTCTCTTACATTGCTCCCTATCTGTGACAAGGTGGCAAATTTGCGACCCCTCAACACTACTTCCTCTCCTGATGGTAGTAAATACTAGGCCTGGAAGACTACTTGGTTGGCTCATGGTCAAAGTTCCAATGTGCAGTGAGGGATTGAGGCAATTGCCTCTCAAGTCAAATGCCTTGCTCTGGCCCAAGTCTGTTGTAACCTGCTAAAAGCCAAGGAAGGACAGAAATCAAATCCAGATAAAAATTGTACACTCCAGAATACTCCAGACAACATCTTACGCAGCAGAGGCTTTGAACTAAAGACTATCCACATATTCCATAATCCCCATATTGCTTGCAGAATTTCATCTTCCATTACTAACAGAAGTACTTTCCCCAGAAAGTATTTTGAAAATCAAATAATGAAACTATACACCTATTTTTCATTATTGTGGCTAAGGTCCAAAAACGCACTCTCTGTCAATGGTGTGGAATTTAGCATTTTGGGGGATAAAGTTCTTTGAGCTTCTTTTCAAATAAACATGTACAGCTTTAAATGAATAAATCATGCAAATACATGTTAATGTATACATAAATTAACACAACATAATAAGGAAAACGAAGAAACAAGATTACAAATTTTCTGCACCTCCAAAATATGAGAGCGATATTTGCTTTAGAAAGAACAAACTCATTTAGAGGAAGAGCTTATATAGATCCAAACAAACCCAAATCACCAATGAAAGCTAATTTTATGTTCAGCAAAGAAGGAAGATGTGCTTCCCACTACAACAGACAAAATCCAATTAAATCAGGCAAATGTAAAAACACTGAAACAAAATTTAATTTAGTAAATAAAACATCGGAGCTGAATTCTGCTGTCCATTCTGTATTCATACCCTCACAAAATGAGCATGAGATTCTGGGGAACTATATTCAACGGGTATGAAGAACAGGGGCAGTCAAGAGGAGAACCAGTTTCAAAGATTCAAGTTTTCAGATAGACTTCTCATACAACATATATAGTTCCTTCTCCTCAACTCACTAGTTCTTCCTTTCTTTTTCAACCGTGAAATTTTTTTAAATTAAGACAAAAATGAGCCTTTGGAGAATACTGCTCAAAAGGCAATGTCTCATTGTGCATGTCTTACATGCATGCCTTATGCAATGGGCTGGATTTTCAAAGCATTCCTCCCTTGCCTAACTCCCTTCCCATTAAGTTAACGGGTTCTGCCTTCAGTGGCTGCAGAATTAGTGATTGCTGGATGGTTTTGGAAATCCTGCCCCGTGCTTTCTGGTGCCTCTCTTGCCAACAGACTGCTCTTACAACAAGGCCAGAGGTCTGTGGTTTGCAAGTCTGCAAAGAAATTCAGACATTGTCCAAGAAATACAGACAGTAATTTTCTAAGGTAAATCCAGACTCCACTATAATACTGCCACATACTAAAGAAAAACATCTCCTGATATATAGTCTGTGATGCTGCTTATTACCAAATATTCCGAGGTTCATTTATTAGTATCAAGCATATCCTCACAGATGACATTCAAGTAGCAAAGAACAAGTTTCTGACAAATTGGTTCCAGCTTTCTGTTCACAAGGATCAGCGTGTATAATAAAGATACCACACGTCAGAAATGTTCTACAGAAACATTTGCTTAAATCAGCTGTCTTTCACCCTCAGCAACCTTCTTGGAAGGAACAGAAAATTCAGCCTCCGACTTCCTCATAGTCATCTGAGGATGGAAAGGTTTATAGTAGGCAAATAAAGTACAAAGTAAGGATGCTGATCCGATGCATCTCATCTGTCTAATGCATTTGCCAGACTCTTCTCACTGCACCTAGATGCCAGAAGTGACTCCATTTACTAGTCAGTTTTGATACATGGACTCATAATACGATTCTGCACATTAGCACTTTAAATACGACTGCTTATCTGGGATGACAACCCTCTTAGAACTAACCCATCCTTCGTAGTTACCTGAATCTTGCTCCTTCTCTTAACCTAAGGGTGAAAACAGAGTGGATTTTTGTTTGCAAGTCTCATGCCCACAAAGGCTTCAATCCACTGCCATCCCCAATGTGTCAACCCTTAAGTAGATGAATGTTGGCACTTTAAGACCCAAGTCAGCATCCAAATACTGTAAGCGGCCAAACTCTTCAGATTCTGAATTACTTCTTTAGATACAATGGCTAAAACTAAATACAAATCGATAAAGGCCTAGTTCTCTGTTGTCCCTGTCTCCTACCTTCTTAGCATTGTTTGTTGTCCCAAGCTAATATTGACATGTCAGAAATGTTAAAATATATTTCTTGTTCAATACAAAGAATATAAGATTTCCTGACAGATTTCCATCCTGAACTGTCAACAAAAATATTAGTAAAATAAAGCTGCAAAGTTAACAGCCCGTTCTGTGATTCCTGGAGATGTCACTGGTTATTATAAATGACTTTCCAGTTAATTACCTGTTTTGAAAATTAAGGAGATTGGGGGTTCACAGCTGCTCCAATAAGTAGCTTCAGTGCCCGCCTCATCCCATTGAGTATGATAAATAATATATTCCCTACCACCCAGACTGCCAGACAGTGGCTGTGTCAAGCTCCTCAGAGAGCACACTTTGTCTGCCATGTGTTATGGGCAACATTTATGACAAAAGTAGAAATTAGATGGTGGTTAATCTTGCTTCTCTGTGTCCCATGTGGGGCACAAGCACAGTTGTAGTGTGGTTTGCTGGATGATAGTCAGAAAAAATGATCTCAGCAAATTGTGTGTACATCAGGATACAGCATGGGGAATGGGCTTAGGAAATTATGTTTGGTGAATTGGGCAACAAGGTTGTCTCTTAAAAGAGCAATGAGGTGGCAGAAGAGCAAATTTTATTTCCTTTTGGAAAAAAAAAAAAATTAAAGCAGGATTTACATTACAGTTAGACCACAGTGAAGAAGAACGAAATCATACTGCTCTGGGGTTTTTAATTTGCTTCTTATTGCTGCTTAGACTATTTAGCTTCCAGATCATAATAAACTGTTATAACAACAGCACCAAAAGACAGATTCAGCTTATAAAAATACTAACCGAGGTAACAGTAGTAAGTTCTGCATTCTGTTTCCTGTGAAACAAAAAAGGAATGATTCTCATTTCACTTAGGCAGGTATGAACAAAGTAAATTCAATAGTCACAGAACACTGATAAACTCAGGCAAGCGAGATCAGAACTAGACTTACACGGCTGCTGCTGGTGCACCATCACAACACAGGACACAAAGCAAGGCTTTGCCTGAAAAGAAACTGAGAGAGTCCCCAGGAAGTCTTAGCTGCTGCTAAACGAGATTGGATTCAGCTGCAAAGAACCTTAAAGTCAACCCCAGCTGTGAGCTTCCTCTGAACATTTTTTTAAATATATAATTATAGTGTTAGGCTAATATGGCCTAAGTTATGAGAATCATACTAGAATTTTCTAAAGACACTTGCTATCTAGAGTTATAGCTTCTCCAGAGCACTTTATGAAGAGAGAGAAGCTCCCTTCATCCCTCAGTCTGAAGCACCTTGTGCCAGAAAGTCACACCCTTCATGACCTGCGATGCCATTTATCCTTTAACTCCTGCTTACCATAAGGCTCCATTAAACTAAATCCACTTTTTGTACCAATGGAAGCTGTTGATGCACTTGGATCAGCACTGTATGCACTTCTGCAGCATCATTTGCCTGTAGTTTTTGCATTTACTCAAGCAAATAAACACATTTGGTAGGTCAACAACATACGGAGCATTCTGCTCCTAATAAACAGAACAATACTGAGCTGAGAGTGTTAATTCTGCTTGTGACGTTGAGAATTTCTGGGAATCATTTCAGGGACAGGAGAATTTTAATTTTACTTTGATTAATATTCTTTTTTCACCCTGTTTTTTAAAATGTAGTGCAAGAACTCCTCAAAGTTAATTAAAGCCAACATCCTTTTGCCTCCACACTTTAGCATCTTTCTGCTCTTAAGCCTCTTGTCCATTTTTTGTCCCCTCAATTCTATACTTCTTTGTTGATGTAGGGGCTGGCTAACTGCAACAGAATAGCTGCCACATAAGAAACACTTTCAAAACTTAGCTTTACTTTCCAGTTCTATATGGAACACAGCTGTTCCCAAAATGTAAAACTGGAACAAACAAGCCAACCACCTGCATTCTCCTCTGCAGATTTTCAGAGACTCTCCAGGATTAGAATCAGGAATCACATTGATTTTTCAGTAAATCCTTTCTCCTAATTCCTCTAAAGTATTTCAAAAAAAGAACCCTGCCACAAGCTTCAGAGACCATATGTAGTGCAGCCTTAAGGACACAGAACCGGAGGCGGTGTTAAATTTTTTTAATAATTGCTATACCAACAACATGCTGGCATTAAGGCTCAGCATAAATTTCTCTGGAGAATGATATAGGGCTATAGCTTTTCTAAAATGGTCTCTTTGTTATCATGAAATCTGTTGATACATTTTCAGTAGGTAGTGCTATCTTTGCCTTTCCTAGGAAGATCCAAAAATCTCAGGGTTTTTCTTTAATTTTAACAATACAAGGCCTTTAGCTAGGATGACAATTTGGGTCTGTACAACCGTAAATATTTGTCTATTCAAAGGCAGCATTTATCTTACAAAGGCACACATACCAGTTTTGCCTCTGACAAGTTCCTTGTTTATTTATTACTCTAATAACAAATAGACTGTCATCCCTGCTGGGCCTCAAAGATGAACTAAATCTGCTGACACAACTGATTGGGAGCGGCTGCAAATTATTTTATTAAAAATTGTGCAACAGCAGATTCATGGTGGGGAGAACGCTTAAATCACAATTCTGCTAGTGACCTATATATTCCATAGTAACAACAGTCAAAGCAACTGGAAACACTTTTCCAGCCCTCATGTTTATACTGCAGCATTTCATTTCTGTTTTGTCCAAACAGGAGAGAAGCAGTGAAGAGGAGACAGATATTTTTGTGTTGAATCCTCTGTGCCTCTGCACACACGCCAAGAGCAAAGCACAGCATCTTAATTAGATGGGTCCAGAGGCACCAGCAGATGAGGGAGAGTGACAGTCCTTGGCCATGCTTGAGAGCTCTCGCTAAAGTAGCGCTGGGAACAGCAAGGCAGATCCACACATCTCCAGTTTTGGATTGCTGAGCCAACCAGGAAAGGACTAGGAGCAGGAGAGTAAAAGATCCTCTGTGCGGTGGGTGATAACTGCCCTATACATGCTGTGCATCACCCGAACGCCGTTGGTGCTGGTCTTAAGGCTCTGGGTATTTGGAGAGGAATCATGAGCTGTCAGCAGGCTCCGAGCAGAGCAGGGACACGTGTGACGCAGGGAGCCCCAGCAGAGACCCACCGTGGGTAATTAGGTGCCCTGCCACATATGAGGCCCTGGCAATTACGTGCCAGCAGCCTACAAGGAAAACCACCAAGGAACTGCCGTGTCAATAGTTGTGCTTAGCCATATCATTCACAGGCACTTCAAATGCTGGGCGCAGCTGTTTGCGCCTATGAACTGTCAGGTCTTAAGAAACACTATGGAACAGGCTTCACTTAAAAGTCTTCTGGGCTTTTACAAAGGTCCGGCTGCAATGAGCTTTTGGAGCCACGGAGATTTAGGAGAGGCACGAGAGAAAGGGAACACCCGAGGAACACATAAAAACAATTCAGCCCTTTTGTACACTGCTGCTAACAGGCTTGCAGGCCCCCCACACCGACCCCTGCCAGGCACTGCTGCCTTCTCTAGGCTGCCAGCTTGGTTGCCCTCAGCACTGTTTCCACCCAAAGACACATGCTTGACCGTGTAAGCCGAACTAGGCTGTACGGCAAGAGGAAACTTTTCAGAAGGGCATAGCTCAACCAGAAGAATGCATGGGAATTCAGACAAGTTTCTTATGCGCCTGCCTGGGCTCTCCAGGACCTGGCAAGCAAGCATAGGAGGAGCAAACTGCTGCCAAAGGGCCTACGGAGGAGAGGGAAGAGACTTGGAGCGCGGTGCCGAGCTGAGAAGGGCAGCGACATCGCCCGAAAGTGTCTGCAAAACAGGGGGGAAGCAAGGAGAGGGATGTGCACCAGAGAGCGAGCTCTGACCAGAAAGGTCCAGAGCTGGAACAGACCCTTCCTGCTCAAGGATGTGCTTAAAAGCACAAACAACCCTCAGCATCACTGAAAATCCTCTAACAATGGCGCCTTTTCTCTATGCATAGAGACCCCAGCTGAAAATCTCTGTATCATTTAGTCTTTGTTAAATTTATAGGGATATCAGGGTCTTACTGTGGCCTATGCACAGAGGGGAATTACATGATCCTGACCCCTGGTCACCTTCTCCCTCCCTGTATTTACAGTCTCTGACGCTGGACAGATTCTTACCCTGCTCTCTTTAATATCTCTCATAGTTGCTTGGCCATGTGGTTTGAGGCATTTCCAAGGAAACCTCTCAGCAATTATTTCCGGAGAAGGAAAGCAGTCTTTTAGCATGTCTTAGTATCTATTCCACATACTTTATATTATAACAATTTATTCTGCAATGTGATTACATGTTGGCATAGACTCTGATTAGGGCTTTAAACAGGAACTAACAGCAGTTATGTTGAATATGTTTTTCATCTGATGATGCACAATACCATTGATTGGATGTAGATTATATTCAGCATTAACTTCAGCTATATAAAAATATCACAAAGAAAAGTCTATCTCATGGTGTAGAATACTCTTTAATTGCATGGATGATCAGTACATGTTGTGACTTTTGCTTTTTTAAAAATTCTGTACACAAGAGAAGTCATGCCTGTAAGAGAAAAATTAATCCAAGTAATTACCAAGCATTGTTTATTTTTCCTCATAAATTCTGCAGTTTCTTGATTTTCACCCGGGCTGTATCGCTGAGTTAAAGTGGTAGGGAGGGAGGAAAAAGCTGGACATGTTGTTGTCCAAAGACAAAAGTTTAAAGTTCATCGTGTTAGGATTCAGGAATTGTATGCACTGCTCCTTGCTGACTGCATTGCAAAGCTCTGATAATTTGCTTTTCTGTAATACACCTTGGACCTCATATCTTTGTTGCACCTTATACTTTGGCCAGGCTGCAGTCTCAGAGCACCTTTAATACATCTGTACCCCTCCGAGATAAGAAATGGCTCAGAGTATCCAAGGGTTTTGCCCATGATTATGGAGCTTGCAGCAGAACAGAGACTCGAATGAGGGCAGAGCTCTAAATTACCTAAAAACCTAACTGCAGCTGACCTAAAGCTTAGCGAGGAAGCTGGGAAAATAGAAATGGAAACATTTCAGGCTCTCAGTCGAGATTTGATAGGGCGGGCATGACAAAGAAGTGAAGAAATTAACAGTGGCCAATGAGGAGGGAAATGCTGATAAGGAGAGTATTAAGGAGCAGGGTCAAATTCCATTCTTCCTCAGCATCATCAAAGATACTGTGCCCAGGTTCTTTGAGAAATAAAAAAGAGGATTTTCTGCTTCCGCTGCAATTTAGCCACGGCCAGCAATGAAGCCTGCATCTTCCCCCAGGCCAGGTCAAGGCTAGAAACCTTTTCCAGCAGTGTCAGTCAACTCCACGATTTTTTTAAATGGCTTTTTACATTTTTGGTAAAGACCTAATAGCGAGTTGCCTTATGCTGACACAATAATGATTTTGTTGAAGATGTTCCAAGCTGCGTGTCCACCAGGAGGGCCGGTGCTATAGCTACCGCAGGAAACCTTTTTACTTTAGTTTAGCCCTTATAAAATACAGCCTGGGGAGGCATCTGCAGTAGGCAGAAAGCAGTCATTAGCAATTACCTTTGAGAGCACTCCATCAGATCACATTCCCTGAATCATATTACCATCTGCAGGATCAGTTTCACGGAGTTCTCAAAATCAAAAGTAAAATCACCTTAAACTCATTTAAATGGACACAATTCCACCTAAAACAAATGTGGCCATAAATAACTGTAAGGGAAAACTATATGGCCATCATGCACTTTGCAGTCTTTTAACCGTGTGATGCTGCCTGCCTGTTTTACCAACAGACCTCACGGCCCTGTGTTGAGAAGGTGCCTCTTGCCTTGCTGGTTGCAGTCATGCCCCCATCTCATGCTTGTTGCTTCAGTGTTTGCTTGAAATGACAGAAATTTCTGCATTGCCTCCACTCATTCTACTTCAGCTTGGTCTCCCGTTTACTTGATTTCAGTTAGGACTTACATAAACATTGCTCTGAGAACCTGGATGCCAGAGACAAGCAACTCAAAAGTACTAGCAAGACACACGGACGTAT